ATTAAATGCATTAAATCCTATTTAGGCAATTCATCGTCTTTCTAAATTTTAACGCGTCTTAGGGCCGTAGTGCGGTAGTGACACTTTTCCGGACATGGGTCCCTATACTCAAATGTTTTTTACTGTTGCACTGAATAACCCCTAGAAGTTTGATCCCATAGTTCTGAAACACCCTGTATATATATATATATATAATATTTAATATATATATAATAAATAATATATATATATATATTATATTTATATATATATTATTTATATATATATATATATATATAACGTATAAAACTTGAACAATTTTAAATTTACATCGTCCACTTTTGTCCTATTATAAAACAATGAGATTTATTACAGTTACTACAAGTAATCCATAACAAACCGCAGCGCTTTTTTGTCGAAAACTGAAATAACTTCCATGAAAAACCGCAGGATTAAATTCAGCGTACCCGCACGTTTTCTGTTATGCCACAAAATGAAATAACGATACAAACATCGACAGAACTATTTTTGCGCATTTTTGGACTATTTGTAAAATAAATTGCAAACTTTGAAATAACGTCAGCTCATTTATAAACACAAAAATATAATATAAATATGTTAACTTAGAATATTATATATGCGTATTGTTTATGTATATGTAGCGAAATATCAGAAACCCAATCTTTTTCCAGATCTCTCCTTTAATACTTACGTTACTCTCATAATAATAATATGCAAGAAATACGTTCCTCTCCCGGTTTCAACTCAATATACCAAGAAACTAAATGAAATTGAAGACGAGGCAGCCGCAGTTGCCTGGGCAAATTAGCATAATATGTTAATGACACTTGCAATATATTAGCATGGCGCAGCTCTCGCTATACCACCTACTGTCTCCTCTCCTGACTTCCTGGATGGCGCAATTAATAAATTCGCTATGTTACCTAACGTGCACCATCGTATACCCTACACCGGATTAAAAACATCGCTTTACCTACATCCCCGACCGTGTCGTTCGCTGGGAACAGGCAGCAACAGCACCAGGAGCAACAGCGGCGGCGGCGGTGGCGGCGGCGGCGGAACCACGGAAGTGCGGGTCGTTTTATTTTACGTAAGACAACGATGCAGTGGCGTAAAAACTACCGAAAGGAGCCATAGGATTAGCGGAAAGCTCTCTTTCTCTTCCTCTATGTCTCGGTATATACGACGTTGTACCGCGTCGAGAACCAAATTAGCAAGGAGGCTTATTACCGTAGCTGCAGCTGTGCGCCGTCGTAATCTGCCGCCGGTGTGCTGCTCCTCTTCTCCCGGATGTGTGTAGCCGCGTGTAACCGAGGCTCTTCTCGCGGCACGTTATTGTCTCTAATTTAAACCGGCGATTTCCTGTCACTCCGGGTCGCGACTAAGGCCTGCAGTAGGTACTACGCGTTCTACGAGCTCGCCCATTCATCGCGCGCGCCCGCTCCGGCCGGTTGCCCCGGAGAAAGAGAGAGAACAGGATTACGTGGGCTAGATCAGTACGCGACGTGGAGCGGCGGTGAACCGGCACCGGTCAAGTTTCTCAATTAGCTTATAAATGAAGTATTAGACCGAGAGGAGCATAAAACGTACAATTTATGCTTTTTACAATCGAATTAAACGTTCAGATTTATGAATCACGTTCATTACCGTTTTTTTGTTTTCCGAGTAAACAAAATGGCTTTCTTTATCGTTATCATATAAATAAATTACTTTGAGCGATAACAGCGTGATGAATATTTTCAATTAAACAACTTTCTTATCTCAGTTTTGTCCATTCTAACGAGAAAGTTCGCAAAAATTCTGTTTGGTCGCGATTCCGAGTTACAACAAGCTTGCTGTCGCCATTGAATCACAGTTTGAGGAGCACTGAGCATTTGCTTCGGTATGCACGCGGAATACGCGTGGGTTTCTTTAACGTTAGCCACCGGCGACGCCACTGACGACGTCGTGGAGCGCATAAGCGGAGGAAGCGATCATGCAGAATCCAAGTAAGGTCGCCGCTTTGTCCGGTACGAATCTCTTAGAAAATATTTTTTATATAAAAATACACAAACCCTTCTCTCTCACGGACGGAATAGTTCTCGAGTTAATGCTTAGAGAAATATATTCCAAGCGAAGAAAGACACGGAAGACGGACAAACAACTTCGGATAGTCACAAATAAGAATGTCTTTTGCACAACACAGAGGGATTTATATTTCAAAAGAATTTTCAAATGAAAAAAAAGGAAGATCTCGTTTTAAGAATCATAAGTTGTTATTTTTTAGTGTTGTAATAAAATATCAAAAAATATCTTTAATAATCTCGTAATGCTATTTATGTGGCGTATTGCCGAACGTAATAATAATTTTCGCTCTCCTCAAAGTTTTCATCTCTTGATGATGCGACAAACACGCGCCGAAGCGATACTATTAAAAAAAAAAAAAAAATCGTTCCCGACGATATTCACGCGGACGCGCAAGGAATACGATCGGCAACGATCGGACGCCACGCGAGGAAAGCCATTCTTCTTTACGACGCACAAGTGGTCTCTCGCGGTAGTACAACACCTATATGTATACCAACGCAAAACCGGTCGAGCTATTATTTTTTTTATGACGTAATTACCGTCGAAGCCTGCCCTGTGCTGAATTGGCCCGGGCACGGACAACTCTCTCCGCCGCTCCTTCCTGTGTGTTCACCCATCTCTCTCCTTGCATTCTCTTTCCCACTCATTCGATCTTTCTCTCCCTTTTGACGTAGTCTCTCGCTCACGGCAGACCAATCTTCGACGTTCCGATTTTGTTACAGACTGCAGAAGAGAAGGAGAGAGAGAAAGAGAGTCTTAGCCCCCCCCACGTAATTTCCACGTTATTAATCCGCTCAGGGCCGTACCGTATTCTTCTTTAGCACTCGAACGATCCCCGCGTATCCCCGCGCTCGAAAACTTCTCTTGACAAAATTGATCTAATCGCACGCGCGCGGTTACCCTTCAAGCTGTACCACGCCGTGTACGCAAAATGTTTGTTTTGAGACACAAAGAAAGAACTTTTAGATTATTCTAACTTTATTCAATCATTTTGTCATTATTTTTTGCATAATTTTTTCGAAGGTACTTTATTTAGCTATTTACCTTTAAGCTTGGCACGAAGTGAAACTGATGATTCTGATGATTCTAAAAAAAAAAAAAAAAAATAGCTTTTAATGCGAGAATTCACAAATAAACGACGATGTGACGCCTACACTGTTTTGAGAAGCGAAACAGTGTTAAAAATACATATATCTCCTCTTCAGCAGTCGCGGCATTACGACTCTTTAGAGTTTTCGTTGATTCACTGGCTTCTCTGACTATATTTAGATAAGTCTGTGTTTCTACGTAGAGTGAATATACAGTCTCTATTTTTTTAATTTTTTAATTTAAAAGTGAGATAGGATAAAACTTGGTTCCCAGACAGAGAGAAATAATTTCTTTCCCTATGTGTAAAATGCATGAAAGAACGAAATATACACAGAAAAAAGGGCTCATAAATATTTTTCGTTTGGCGTTACAATTTCCGAGGGAATTCATTTCTCATTTGATACGATACTTTCCACCAGAAGAGAGAGAGAGAGAGAGAGAGAGAGAGAGAGAGGGAGGGAAAAGAGAGAGAAAAAAAAAGTCGTTTTACCTCGGCCGTGTCATTCTACGCTTCACTTGTCAAAATTGCATATTAAATGAAACACTAATCGCGGAACGAATATCCTACAAATATCCGGTCGCTGGTTTTTTTTTTTTTTGTTTTTTGTTTTTACACGGCGAATATGTACACTTTAAAAGTGCGTCGACCGATCGACCGACCGGATGAATAAATGTCGGATGCAAATAGAGCTTTAATGGAATCGCGCATCGAATTACCTACCAACGTCTCGTATCCATATAGATTTCACGTCTACGCTGTTCGTACTGACTCCTCTATACATTGTTTCGCTGTAATCTTCTTAACGCTGTCACAAAAGGCTGTTAAATCCGCTTACATGCAAACGCGATCGGGACCGGACGAGACAATTCGTCGAGTTGCTAACTGAATCTCGCGAAAGGGCGCGACGCAAAAAACTCATTAGCTGTTCGTTAATAATATTTACGTGGAATTATGCTTATCCATGCGATATTGATTGTAACCGTATTTTGCCGAACTTTTATTCAGTATCGGTTGATTAATGATTCTGTGTTCCGCGTCTCTTGTCCCGGCCCGTTATTATGAACTGCATTTTTTACACTCATTTCCGCAACGGCTACATTGCGCAAGTTTCGAAAATTAATATTTCCGTTAATTTCAACGCGCGCGCGCGAAGTTTATACGTATCGTCGAGATCCTGTGGTACATACTGTCGGCCATAAATATCACACGCGCTATAAATAAGCATTACGGGAAACATATATGCAATTTTTCCTAATTGAAATGCGCATAGAGGATTCCGATGTGTATGTGTGTGTGAATTGAAATCGATACATACGACGTCGCGTATGTGTTACTCGATTATTCGCGGCTTTATACATACACAGCTGCCACTCAGGAAATTAACTGTCAAGACAGCTTCAAAGCTGCGCATTCTTCGGCGATTGTCGATCCACGAATGCATTGAATAAGAAGAAATACAGCAAAGTCATTATGTAACAAATTGCGCAACGAAGAAGGTGGCGAAGGCGCGACAGTGAATTTGTGAGTTTAAATGAACTGCGTTCGCAGGTAGATACATTTTGTCGCTATGCGAATGCGCATCAAAATAAAGGGCGTAAAATATAAAATAAACAACGTATCGCATCCCGAGTGTTTTGAAAACTTCCTCTCGGAGATAATAATTTTCCGTCAAGCTGCGTTCGCGTAACGTAATTAATTTTTCGCTTCGTTGTTCTCGAAACTTTGAACGATAAATAATTTTTCGAGAGAAAAACACAAACCACACCATACGATCATTTATCACGAGTAATCGTATATTGTTACAAAGGATCTCACGCATTTTGCCTCGCGCGCATCCCAGAGTTTAATACCAGCCGGTTGTCCTTCGCGACGCCAGGTGTTCGTGAGATACCTGCTTTGTGCGTGAAAGAAATTTTCTTTTCAAGGTATCTCAAACGCTAACTCTTCGGCGGATTCTTTTTCAAACAACTTTTTCACTTTCGATTTTTCGTCGTTTCAAACGTCGCGTAAAATTGTTTTATTTGATCAAATCCGACCGTTTTGCGCAGACAAAATATTGAAACGTTGTAAAAATTTTCACTTTTATAGATTGTTTTTTTTTTAATCTGTAAAAGACAATTATACGCAATGTGTAGAACGCACATGAAAAATAAAACATAGTCGACGGTTTTTTTTTCTTTTTTTTTTTTTTTTGTTACGCTGTGTAACTTCCATTCGTGTGCAGTTTTGTTTCGCGCGTCGCGGCGGATCGATTATTGAATCTCGATTATTAAACGCGCGTCGTACCTGTTTCCATCTCATTTGTTGCATTTGATCGATGCGAGCGAGAAATTGTTCTCGCGAAGATTTCTCAGATTATGAAAAACTAGCGGGACGATGCTCGGGTCAACGACACAAAAACTATTTGAAGCCTATGAAGGCACCGCATGAATGCACGGTTGCGATCGCGATCGAGAGAGAGTGTCTGCGAAGCGGAAAACCGAACGACGAGAGCGACGGTCGCGGCATAAGACCGATAAGATAGTAAAATCGATCGCGCGCGACACACGAGACACATTCCTTGCCGATCGAGTCGCAAGGTACCACGGCATCCGTTCGTAGAATGTTGAACGCTTTGGAAAACCTTAAGACTGGGTCAGGTCAAGTCGAATATGTCGCGTCACGATACACTACATCACATTTCTCAACGCGTTGGACGTATAGCGTGTACGTATGTGTGTTATACACAATATACATATATATTGTATATATATACATACATATATATATATATATATCTTGTATATATATCTTGCAAGCTGCTTGTACGTTTTTTCTTCTCTTCGATAAATGCACGTGTGCACGTTCTTCGCCTTTTTCATGCTCTGCTTACGACGTGAGTGGTGGCGAGTCTGCGTCGGATTGCTGCACAGACTCTCGTGGACACTTGTAGGAACATTTGAGTGACATTTCGGTGTGTATATTTACGAACAAGCTCGTGTAAGGCGATCGGTCGTCTTTCTTTCTTTATTTATTTTATTTTTTTTTTTTTTTTCAGAACAAAATCTCTCGGTTAGATTCGTACCGATCGAGTAAGTGTTGTCTGGTTTTCTGGTGTTATTCAGCGTGGCGGAGAAACACGTACGAGAACGCCGTGATATTCGAGCTGAATAAGCGCCACGTTACGGAAGACGAATGAGGGAGCGGAAAGAAAACGAGGGAGCCAGCGTTCTTTTGCTTATACACACACGTTAATGCTCATTGGACGGATGGGAACCGGTGAAACGAAAAACGATGTTTAGTCTGAAACACAGTGATGCACGTAACTCGCTCGACTGAACGACACCAATTTCGACATGCACGCAGAAGTTATGATCTCAATGATAGATTTATCAAGCAAAAATTATTCATATACATATCGATGAATATTAATCGCATCACATGTTATATCGATGTTGGAAATTAAATCGAGACAAAATAACAATTTTTTTTTTCTAATTAATAATTTCAATAATTTATAATTTATTGCTAATTATGATACAGCCAAGAATAGAATAATCCGCGATCGCGCTAAATATTTGATTTCGGAAGCTTTGTGATATTAAAACGAGCGTTTCAGTTTAACGGTGAGTTTCAAAAAGAGGTTATCATAACCAGTCGGTTATCATAAATTAACCGTCTGGTCGCGCGGACGCGTAATGCGTGTGCACGCGTTAAATGTTTTGCGCATACATCGCGCTATTTTACGAGTGCAACGTGACAGCTTGTTGAGATCGAGATACGACTGATTCCATAAATATATCCCGCTCGAATTCGAGATGAAACTTGGCGTGGGTAGTTCGGGGGGGGGGAGGGGGTGAAAAAGAAAATGAAGATGCACCTTGGCGCGGTGCGGAACAAACGTGAATATCGCTTTCTCTCGATTTTTTTTCTTTTTTCTCGAATTAGCTGAGAACTGCGAGGATCAGCGTTCTTTCACGTAGGATAGAAAAAAGGACGCGGCAGCTGTTCGTACGTGTCAAGCACGAAAGACGTTGTTGTGTTGCCTTTACACTTCGAGCGACCTTTTTCCGACGTATTTATTGTCGTTCTTGAGTTTACGAGCCGTTACAGGCGCAAATACGCCTGCAGGTTCCTTCACTCTCTTTCTGCGTCTTTCTCTCTCTCTCTCTTTCTTTCTTCTTTTTAATTTAAATGACTTTTGTTATTATTAGACATCACATACACACATTATCTCTCTCGTTCTAATGTCGAATGCTACGAGAAGAGTGGGGACACAGTAGGTTCCTAGACGACAGCCCTTAATTATCCTTTATATAACACTGCATCGGAACATTAACTTTACATTATGTCTTTCTTTGCAAGAAAGAATGGACTTTTTTTGATATAAATGTTTTTAAGATAATTATTTAATATAAATCTCAGTTATAATTTATGAATATTTATAGACAATGTGTTGTTTGTTTGAAAAATATTTCTCTAATGCGATATTTAGAAGCGCTTATCCTAGAAGATACAATGTTCAAACGACGGTCGAGAGATCGAAATGTTATGTTCTTTCGGAAAACTTCCGATGAAACATAAAGCAATAAATTCTGATTTCCAGCATGAGAGAGAACCGTTGAAAAGTTACCTTCGACTAAAGAGGCTAATTTTTCATTCAGCTGAAATGCCTCGATTGAGCATCGATACATACATACACATACACAAATACAACGGAGGTACATTAATCAGTACTCATCGACGACGCTGAGGCGTGTCTGGTATTTCGAGAACGGACAATGGCTAATCTCTCGTTTGAGCCACCTGTTCTCATCGTAATCTCTCGAGGTGTAATTAACGAAACGGCGTTAGCATACGGAGATTCGAGTGGAACAGGTCAAAGCACTCACGGAAATCGTCCGTTCAGTTTAATGGCTTGTCATGTGTTGACGATGATGCAACAGAGATATCATGTCAATTACTTTAATAACGTCATTACAATTAAAGGGCAATAACAGGTTGTGCGAGAGAGGCACTTAATATAGAACGAGTATAAAAGTTATACATTTTTCATTTAATATTTTTTTTCTCGCGAGAAAAAATTTGAACAAATAAAATCGTGTAACACTTTAAAGAACTTCAATTATATTTTTTAATTTGAATACTCTTAGATAACGTAACTAAGACACAACACTAGGTTGTGTATTTTTCGTCGCGCGATCGACGCGTTTTCCAGAGAAAAGCGTTTTCCGTTTTCTTTTACTCAGAATGTCGATTGTTTATCGATAGAAGAGAATTACAAGTCGAATTTGAAAAACAAAACAGGTAACAAGCGCGAATAAACAATGTTAAAAAGCGGTAGAGAAGATTCGCATCTGTCGGGCAGAAGAAATTTGCAAAAATAACGCGCTCGAGTAAACACGCCGATTAGCACTCACGTGTATAAATCAACATCTAATTAAGTTTATTTTGTACCAATTTATTTAATAAACAAAACTACGTAAATAAAGACAATTTTGCACAATATAGCGCGATTTAAAATGAAAAATATTTCCCAAGCGTTATTCGCTTTATCTCGATAGAAACATTTGTTAATTTTCAATGACACGCCAGCCGTTGCGCCGATCTATACGCGAACGATCGCGTGATTAATACGCGAAACCGTCTGCTGCCAGAAAAAGTTAATTCAATAATGCATATGTAGAAGCAAACTTATATTATATTATCTCGAAGCGTATATGTTTCTCATAAGTCTTATTATTCATATATCTTTGGATTTAACGGGTGTTCGCTCACAACAAATTTGTATATTTGCGCAACTGTAGAGGTGAAAAATATTTTCTGTTCTCACCTCTACAATATTCGCCGATTACCGGTGTCTCGTTATTCTTGTTATAATATTGATTTCTTTTTTAATATATATATATATATTCTAAACATTTATTTATTTAAACCACATAAAACCAAAAAGATCCTACACATAAATAATATAAATGTCAATGTGATTGGCGTATATAGATTCGCAAGAATGTGGAATCGAGTAAACAAAAGCAACGAGAGATAGTTACGTAAGTCCAATACGCTCATTTCACATTCACAAAATGTACATGTTATTTTTTCACGATCAGCTGTGCGGTCGAGAAAGATTTTCCACGACGAAAGATTAGAACAAACCGCGTTTGTGTGAGCGCGCGTCCGTTTTTCACTTCGCCTAGCACACACCAGCATTCTTATTCTCTGCAGACCTACAAAAGGGAGAAACCGCGGAAGAAGTTCAGCGGTCGATGGCGGTCGGAGCTCGTAAAGGTGCTAAAGAAAAGCGTCGCGCGCAAAACTTTTACTTCGAACTGCTTATTTCGTTTATTACAACGGTTACCGTGCCAGCATTCGTTGCATTTTGCCACACGATATCGTTCGGTCGTATCGAATTGCGATTTTAGGTAGAAAAATTTGTATTTCTCATTCACACGGAATGGGATTGAGCGAAAAACAACAAACATTTGGTTTGATATCCTTCTGAATTTTTGTTCGGACAGCATTGTGGGAAATAGGATAAGAATCGCGATAAATTTGATATATAAATAGAAACATATATATATAATATATCGGAATCTCGCGTACTTATACAAGACAAAATCAGTAGAATTCCGCCAAATGTTTTTTTATTTTTTTTCAAGGACAAAATGAAGAAAGAACTGGTTTCTCTCTCACGTCGTAAACTCGTTTCTACGCGACAAAACGCGTTGAAGAATTTCACCATTCGAGAAACCAACGATGTTATACGATTGTCGCTGCAAAATATTTATATCCAAGTGCGTGTGTTCAATTAACACGTTATCGAAAAATTAACCAAATCTCATGATGTGTACACATCGCGTTTAAATTAATCACAATAACTTTGGTCTCCGAGTTCTTTCTTTTCGTAAGTAATAATAATAATAATCTCCATCGTTATTGTAAAAATAAGAGCAAGAAATGCGAGAGAGAAAGCGAGTCATCAATTATTAGACCCGCTGCTTTTTCTGGTATGCTAAAGACGTCTCGCTGACACAGCCGCGGCGGAAAAACACTCATTACACGTCCGTAGGAAAATGGTGCGCGATCGTTCGGCTAAACGCGCGAGGGGGAGTCCACGACTTCCCGCGTCTCTTTATTCTCGCTTCGGTGCACAATTGAGGAATTCCTTTGAGCGTCCCTCTGCGCGCCTTCTCATTCCCTTCCACGAATCACCGAGTCTCGATGTACTTACGCACACACACACACAATGCAACAAACGACAGACCGAGGTGTCGTCAACGGTTTGTTGACACTGCACGTAGAGAGAGACACGGACGCACATTTCCCGATATCTACGCGCACATATACAAACAAACCGGCGCCAACAAACCAAACACACCCAAGATGTCTCTACGTCGCGTATCGAAATACAACTCGCCGCGTTTCCGCGAAAAAGTTAAAACGTTTTTAATCCAATAAACAAGCTTCTGGGAAGAATAAAAAAAAAAAAAAAAGACAAATTGAAATGAAAATCTTATAAGCTGCGATGCACCCCGGTGATAATAAATAAATAAAAAAAGTAAATGTAATTTCAACAAGATTCAAATCAAAGTTTGATGATTTGGAATTACGTTGACGTTTTGATCATTTATTGTTTTAATCATCACAAGTCAATCTAATGTATAAATATTAATTAACAACACTTTTTTGTGATCTATGTTTAACAAAAACTATAACAATTCTCGTATTTTGTGTGACAGAATAAAAACGTCTGTATTCAAAGTTGGGAATCTGATATATATCGTGAGGAGTGTTTTAAAGCTGAGTTTAAAGCCGGATAGTGTTGTACTGTGACAACGGCTGCCCGAAGTATTTGTATATAAAGAGTGTCTATGCATAAACTTTAATATACTCGTGTCTATGTAGAATATGCACAAACAATATGTGATCCGCATGAAAAAGCTATAACGTGTTTGCATAGTTTTTCTTTCCGCGTGCGCCAAGTTGATAAAAAAATAAAAAAAAAAAAAAAGAAGATTTGTTGTTTTTGCAATAACTTCAAAGCGAGTCAAATACCATTAAAAATCGTTATTTTTAATCAAACGTGCTTCAAACTTTTTTTTTTTTTTTTTTACTTTGTACAGAACTATATGAATTTATTGGCGTGATTACTACTGTAGTAACTTTCACGAATAATGATTTAAGCGTGACACACGATGTGTTTTTTATTATGTACACATCCGGTTCGACGTAAAAGCGCAAAGTTAAATAAATTGCGCCAAACGATGTAAATGAATTTGCGTGTAGCGCCACGTATTAAAATGGACCGCGGAAAAAAATATGCGCGCGGATTTTTATCAACGTGCGCGGTAACTGAATTTAAATAGAAACGAACGGCATTTTAACGTCTCTCGCTTTTGCTGGAAAAAATGCAACGAGAGTTAAACGACGAGCTAAGTCACATAAATTGCCACTTGCTATGAAATGTGAAACTTTTCCCCCCGTCTTGTTTCTCCGGCGACGTTCAATGAAAGTAGCGCTAAAACAATATCACGATTTTTTAATGACAATATTCGTTACACTCTCTCGAGTGTCCGATGTCGACGTTCAAAACTAAATTCATAAAAGAAGTTTCGTCTCGCAAATTAAACGTCTCGGTGTAAAAAGCGCGAACGTAGTTTCTGCTTGTATCGCTCCGAAAAGCTCTTGAAAAAAAAAAAAAAAAAGTGCAATAAAAAAACCACCACTCCGTTTACCGCGGCGAGTTTTATCCCGAAAACTTGCTCGAACGAGACCGCGCGTCGAACGTTTAAATATCCCGCCCGCGTGACGACGCGCTCGGTTTTCATCGTTAAAAGCAATTTTGTGCTCCGTGCATAGTCTCACCGCGTGAATAATCGAGCTTTTAAGCCGAAATCCCCCATCGATCATTATCGATCGCTTTTCATCATCAGGTCTCTTTTACATATCGTGATGCAAAGATTGCATCAAAGATCGCGAAGGAGATCGACGAGAGTCGTTACAATACGCGAAGGGGGTCCAATTTTGTTTAAGCGAAATCGATCGATATATCAAACCGACAGAAAAAAAAACTATTGTTATGTAAATGGCGATTTTTTATCGCAAAACAACTGTGGTATTTTGTGATATATATATATATATTTCATGTTTCGCAATTTGACACACGTACGTATTGTAATTTAATATATTCCGTTTTTATTCCGTTCTCGATCTCGCGCGCTTTACGAGACGTTGGTTTTTCGCGTATTCCCGTCATGCGAAAATCGAAAACGCGTCTTTGTCTCGCGAAAAGAAAAGATTTTGTTCCTTCCCTCGGCTTGCACCGTAATGTCTCACCTCGCTCAAAATGACAGATCTATTCCCGACGTGTAATCAAGTGCAAGAGAATGAAGAAAAAGGACGACGTAGAAAATAAATACGAGAAAATGCAGCTACAAAGAACGAAATTAGAGACGCTCCGAAAGAATCGCGCTCGAAAGGAAAAGACACTAACCTTGTTCTCCGGCTGCGATGTCCACACAACGGTCGTTCCCCTCTCACTTAACGAGCGACGGTCCCAAACGCGTCCGTGTTCTCCCGTGCTTCAGGTAATCCAAATCCCAGATATATTTTTCACTTTGTTTCGCGTACTGTCCCACTGTGTGAGAGTCTCACTCGCGCGAATGCGTTTTTTTTACCAAAAAAAAAAAAAACTGTGTCACTGCACTCTGTAAAGACAGTCGCAAGTACGCGATCGTCTAAGGAATGCGATTCCACCATTCGTCGAAAGATGATTCACTGTCACTCGGCCACCGCGATCCGGAAAACCGAACGCGATGTGACACATCGATTCGCTCTAACGTCGCCGCTCGACTACGCGAGACCCGCGCGTGCGACAACAAACAACAACAAATGACAGCAATTCGGAGCTCGACCTCCACGTGGAAGCGAGCGAATGCTGTGTACACGAAACCGTCAAGTCGGAGCGGCAAACCGAAACTAGCGCGCCGCCGCGGACGTCGAGAAAGGCGAGCCTAGGAGGCGTCCGTTGCTACCCCCCCCCCTTCTATCACGACTCGCGCTGTCTTTCTCGCACCTGCGCATTCGCACCGTAACGACTCACACACAGATCCATCGCTCTCTCTCTCTCTCTCTCTTTCTCTCTCGTTCCCTCCGGAGAGTTCTCTTTCCTTCTCTCTCGATCACCATAGTCATTCTCCGATTCTCTCTCTCTCTCTCTCTCTCTCGGTCTCTTCGGGCTCCGTTCTCCTCTATACATTACCTTCTGCCCCCCGTTCCTCACCTGCCGACCGCCTGACGCGCTCTCTTTCACGGCCGACGACGATCCCTTCTCTCCACGGACGACCTCTTAGGCCGGTTCGGCCAACCCGATCCCTTTTCCAACCGTAGTCCTTCTGTAGTCCGGTGCGAACACGTTACCGCGTGCATCGTGTCGCTCCCCTCTTGTCGCCGCACCCCGCGTTCTGCCTCTTGCGTTATGCACCGTTGCACTCGATGCACGCAAGTTTGGATACACACCGCGCGCGCTTCTTCTCTCGCGGTTCTCTTTCTCTTTTCGCGCACTCGCACACAGGCCGGCCAACCTCCCCGCGTTACGTAAAATGCGTTTTGCCGCGTTCCCGCAATCAACGACCGCGAGTCGCAAAAACTCGCGCGGATAGGATTCAAATGCGGGACGCGTGTTTTGCGTCGTCGAGAGAGAGCTCGAAATCTCGCGTTCTGTCGCGTTGTTCGTTTGCTTCGCTCCGAAAGAGGGCGCGATAATCGAGAAGCGCCGATAAATTCGTTCGAGTGGGATACTCGGCCGTTAATCCGTGTCGATGCGGCGATGAGGGTAACGTTTTTGTCAGCCGATATTCAGTCCGCGACATATAGATGGACGCGGTTTTAATGGAAAGTTCGTATAAATCGCTGTGCGCACTTTATATAAACATATCGGGATTTTTGTGTGCAAAGTCGCACATAGTACTTAAGCGCACGACGTTAGAAAAAGTCGTGTGTCAATATATTTCAGAAGATATATATATATATAAAATTAGACTCAAATATATCTACGCTGACGGAGATAGAGAGAAAATTTTTATTAAAGAGGTTCGTTTTTTTTTTAAGTTCATTTTGTTTACGCTCATTATATTTATCAAGTTACACCGTGGTATGTACCTGACCTTTGTAATGACGTGCGATGTAATAGAACGATGAGACGCATGTCTCATTTCTGAAACAACGCACGATTAGTACAAAAAGCGCGCGAGAGAACAAATATTATCTTATCTCGCCGCCATCTTTATGAACAGCTTATTTTACATATACGCAGATTATGTGCGCGAACTGTATATAATAACAAATTATGATAATATTGTCGATGCTTTTAGCAAACATCAGTGTCTAATAAAGCGATAAATAATTGCTCGATGAGAGGGGCATTATATATTGTTTTTCGGTAATCAGGCGTGAATAACAACAGTTAATCGCGCGTGGAACGTGTACGAAAGTTTGTCTTGTTTTATTTTTCATACGTGTGTTTCAATTCGATCGATCGAAACGTGTGTATATATATATATATATATATATATTAGAATTTGCAAATATTTTCCGAATTAATTTTAAAGAACTCAAACACAACGCGTTTGATTACTCATTAAATTTATTTTCTTCCCTTCGGGGGGAGTTCGATATGATTATTATTGACAAGTCGTAAAAGTATTGTACTTACATCGGACAAGACGTCGGTTCCAGCATCGGGAACAAAACGAGTGTAATATCGCGCATAGAGCACTAAACTTTCAGAATGCACGCTAATTGACTCGTATATTTCGCTCGTACGGTAAATCATACCTGCACGCAATATACGCGCACCTGCGTCCGCAAAAATTTATGTTACTATAACGGTCTTTTCGAGACAGACGTCAAGCTTGACCTATCGCGTTACCGGAAGGAAAATTTTACGAAAGAAAAAGAGAGAGAGAGAGAGAGAGAGACAGTTATGTCGTCGGGTTAGCATTTAAATTTACGTGTGGTGTCAAAGATGTAGGTGCCGCTTTAGACGACACACTAAATTGCGTTCACAGTCGGACAAACAAATGACCGCAGCCAGTTCTGTGTTTGTCTCGGTGGTTGCTGGTGTGACTAAGCTAACGGAGTCGGCTATGTACCAAGAACTCGCGCGCGCGCGCGCGCGGAAAAGGACACAGAAGACTCCTTAGTCCTCTCTGTTCTCTCCGTTACCCTCCGCCGTGTTCTCGTTCCATCGGTTCCCTCTCCCGCGCGTTCCTTCTCATCGTTTTCCTCTCCCCATCGTGTTCACCGTTTTCAGCATCTCGCCTTCGCAATCAGTTACGTTTGTGTGTTCGGACACCATTACCTTAATTAAGAGCGAAGTTTTCACAGGCTGCCTGCGCGCGCGCGCGCGCGCGAACACTTCCTAAACTAAGTTCCTCTCTATTGATTTTATCTTAATATCCTTAAGTTCTTCGCGCAGTTTCCAAACCTTTTATTTCTTCTTTCAACGAGAGACGGGCTACGTGCCGCGACTAAATGGCTTTACATGCATAAGACGTTCCGTCATTAATGTCGCGAAAACTTATCGTCGCGAAAACTTATCGTCGCCTTAATTGAGAATTTCTCGTAACTCCATTTTTTTTTTAATATATGACACGCGCAATGCGGACACTGAGAATGTGTTCTGCTTAATTTGCAATTGCGCGTTCGAGAGATTACGGTTTTTTGAAATGATAACAGGGGCGCGCTTCGCAACGCGAATTTTTGAATCGCGCCACTTCCTCGGAGATTTTATCAGTCAAAAAATCAAACGATTCCATAAATCCAGTATATCTATAACAATATACTTATAGCAGTCCGGTATTCCGGTAAAATTGAGTAGAGTGGTTTACTCTGTATATATAGCAGCGTGTTAGTTTGATCCTCAAATTTATGGGGATCACACCCGAATTTAGCACAAGTTCAAACATCGTTTGTTTTCGTTAAACAAGAGTGAAAACCCTCGCGCCGTTTGTTCTCCGGCCCTCGATAGAAGGGCAAGAATGCTTTATTGTGATGTAGTAGGGAGAGAGAGAGAGAGAGGAGGGGAGATGGATGGATGGACGCGAACGAGAATAACAGAAAGAGCTTCCGATAGGTGAAGAGAGCGGACCGAACAAGAGAGGTGAGAGAGAAGCCCAAGAAATCAGTCGGTCGTGGCACTGCCAGTCGTGGTCCATACTCGAGACTCAAGGCTATCAACCTCTAAGCATCCATTAACTACCAGCCGCCGATGGTACGATGGGCACATGTGCATACACGCGCGTAACACACTCGCGCGAACGCGCGTGCATACACACGCGCGCGAAGACGGCGCGCTGCCTGTTCCGTGGTATTTCACCTTTGCCGTCCGCAATTTCGCGGTTCAAGCAACAGTGCTGATTAGACCGCAAACGACTGCTCTCGTTGCCGCACTCGAACGCGCACTCCGACGCGACGCCAAATGTGTTGCTTCGCAACACATGTTTTGAAAACTCTTTTATTTTAACATTTTGCTCACACAGGTGTCGCGCACACACACACACGCGCGCGCGCGCATTCCAACAAATGGAATGCGCGTTAAAAAGAATGAAGAACACAATCTTCCCAAAATTTACGCGAAGAAGTCGAACTTCGAAGTCGAAATTTTTCGCGCGAGAGAACCGACGATTCTCTCGAAAGAGAGACATCCGTGTTTTCAAGAGCAACAAGTGAAAGTCAGTTTGCCGCGCGAAGCAACATAGTCTCGGAAATCGTGCGCGGCGCGCATTATCTCGTTTCCCACTCCGTTGCCTCCGCCCGGTATAATCAGCCCGATCGTATCCGGGCGTAAGATCTCACCTTGCTTTAACTCACTATTAACCGTTATCGGAGCTCGATCGGGATAGCGCCGGTCAATGCAAACGACCTCGTTGATGTTCATCCATCGATTTCTCGATCAAGACCTGTGGATGAATTCAGTCTCGCCGACGCTGAGACAGCGCGGACGGTAACGATCGGCGCCTAGTTTGCTCGCTCGCTCGCGCGAGCCTCACACAATGAACCTACCTGTTCGACAAAAACTGGCCAGACAGGTGAGCGCGGTAGCGAAGTACCTGACGCCGTGAGAGACTAAACACGGCGAAGTAGACGTTTTCCTAGACGACCGTCTTGTTCGACTCGCGAACGCATTTCCTCTTCGGGTGCGAGCGTGTCACCGAGAAATCTGTCACTTTGAATCTTGTTACGCATGAATTATAGACATGATTGGTCTTTTGTGAGCGCGTTCGGGATGTAACGCGCGATGATGTTAACGCGTCAGATAGAAGTGCGCTTCCGTGAGTGAACCAGCGAAATTAACTTGCCTTTGAACGGCGCGTGTCAAAGAGATCTTCAAACTCGTTTCGAGGACTAATTCATGCGTAGCTGCGTGATGTCGCGAGTAATTCAAGCCTGTGGCCTGTGAAAGGAAAAAAATAAATACATAAATTATTTGGTGCTTATCTTAATTCGCAAAAGTGCCAACCACATGATTTGTCTCGTATTTCAATCGAACATCTCAGAACATCTCGTCGTCGTTGGGATGTCGTGACTCGTGACCTTCGTGTTCGGTCGTTATAGTCGCCATACAAATCATACGGTAAAATTACATCACGGACTCATGATGAGAATATTACTCGACGAGAGTATTACTAATGAGGGAATATCTTTAGTAAAAAAAAAAAAAAAAAAAATCAAAAGAAGTAACATTTGCAAAATGGAGACCCCCAACTGCGTACGAACGGTACAGTTTTTTCTTTTTATTACGCGCAGTTACACGACATAAACGAACAGTATTGCAATTTTGAACATTGTAATGAGAAAATTTCGATTTAACGAGGACATTTTGCAACATCGAGAGATGTCGAACAATTCTCGATGGAGAATAATTTATCTTGAAAATATTCTGACGAGTTAATGTGACACACATGGAAAATATTTCAAGAACGTCAATGAAAATCGACACACGTGCCTAGCGTTCTCATCTCTGTACTATATAAATCGATAATTGATGTATCAAT